CCAACTTCGAACTCCCAAGAAGTATTCCCCAAGGTACCACCGTGTGATACAGAAATTTTTACGGTGGGTACGAAGACTGGCCGGCGTTCAGAGATATGTTCACGGCAGTCTATAAAAATCACCCCAAATTAACACCAGCCCAGAAACTATACCATTTAAGGCAAAAAACCAAAAGTCAGGCAGGACAAATAGTTAAACAATTCCCTCTCACTGACGATAATTTTGAACTTGCCTGGGATGCCTTCAAGCCACGGTACGAGAATCGTAGGATATTGGTAGATAACCAATTAAAAGCGTTATTCAATATCCCCCCCATATACACAGAAAGTGGTGAGCAAATCCAAAAAGTTCAATCCACTATCAATAATTGCCTCTCAACCCTCTCAGTACAAGGAATCCCGACCAGCAATTGGGACCCCATCCTTGTATATTTATATTCCTCAAAACTGCCCAGTGAAACTCTGTCTCTATGGGATCAATCACTCAGCTCACGGAAAGAGTTACCGCTGTGGGCAGATATGAATAAATTCCTCACAAGCCGGTATGAAGTAGTAGAAAGACTACATGCATATCAACAAGGCAAACTAAAACCCCCTACCCCACTTTTTACACCCATAATGATGAACCAAAATTCGACGTTCATTAATAAAAGTAGAACTCAAAATTTTCATGTAGATCTAAATCAGCCGATTTCATGCAAACTCTGCAACTCAAGGCACCCCATGAATACATGTGTTAAATTTAAAGCACTGTCCGTATCTGACCGTTTAAGATTCATACGAGAGCACAATTATTGTGAAAATTGCCTTTCTTACTCCCATTTAAAGAGTGATTGTTCAAGCAGCTTCACTTGTGTATACTGCCAAAGAAAACATCACTCTCTTTTACACTTCCCGCAAAAAACCCAGCAACCAAAACCCAATTCAAAACCCCAGCGAACAACGAGTCAGCTGTCGACGCAGACTAGTACGGATACTGAATCGCTCACTTGCTCGAAATATGCGACACATAAGCCACCAGAGAAAAACGACGTAAATAAAGTCATCTCACTTTTCGAGTACTAACGCCACAACTCTCCTCCCAACGGCGGTAGTACCGATATATTGTGATGGCGAATATCATAATATTCGCGCTCTGGTGGATCAAGGCTCACAAAAAACGTTTGTATCATCCCGGATACAGAAACTCTTGCGCTTGCCTATGACAGATGCTCTATTCGAGATTTCTGGAATGGGTGGAATGGTGGTGCAAAATTCAAAGAAAATGTGCGAAATCACACTCTGTTCAGCAGATCGAGCCCAGAAAATAAAGACCCAAGCCATTATTTTGCCCCAATTGACTCATTTTCTACCTACAACCAATATCTCTCATATTAACTTAGAAGAGATAAAACGATTAAGGCTCGCCGATCCCAACTGTTTCACCCCAAATAAAATAGATATGGTAATCGGCAGTGACCTAATCCCCCGAATTCTCCTACAAGGGCTGCAACAAAACATAAGCAGAAGTCTCATAGCGCAGAACACGATATTTGGATGGATTCTGAGCGGCCCAATCCAGGAGAGGATCTCCACCTTTACCACCCAGGTAACCGAACCCCAGGAGGAATCGTTGAACTCACTGCTGAAGAAGTTTTGGGAACAGGGGGAAGTAGCTGTCACGCAACCCCGTTCAAGTGAAGAGGACTTCTGTGAGGACCTGTATCGACGCACAACAATCCGGCAGACAGACGGACGATACATGGTGAAACTATCCATCAAACCCGAATTCCCAGACATCATGGCTCTAGGACACTCTCGACTAGCAGCGCAGCAGCAGTACATCAGCATCGAAAGGACTCTGGAGAAAAAACCTGACCTCTGCAAAAGGTACTCAGAAGTTCTGGAAGAATACATCACCATGGACCACATGGAGCCCACCTCATCCCAAGAAGTCATCAATGGCGGTAAATACTTCTCCTCTTATTTATCGCACCACGCTGTCATAAAACCAGACGGCAAAACAACAAAAGTACGCGTAGTCTTCAATGCTTCCAGAATATCGCACTCTGGAAACTCATTGAATGACGTGCTATGCACTGGCCCAACCCTTCAAAACGACTTGATGCTCATCATTCTTCGATGGCGCCTCTACAAGTTCGTTTTTAATGGCGACATCGAAAAAATGTATCGCCAAATTCTCGTCCACAAGGAAGATCAAGACTTCCAAAGAATCGTCTTTCGTAGGTCCCCAAATAAGCCCATAGAAGATTTTAGGCTGAAAACAGTCGCCTTTGGCATCAATTGCGCTCCCTATCTGGCAATCCGTACGCATCATCAGTTAGCGCAGGATTGTCAGGACGAATTCCCGCTCGCCAGCAATATCCTCCTACGAGAAACATACGTGGACGATATTCTCTCAGGCGGGCATAATATACAGTCCACTATAAGCTCATTAACCCAAGTTAAAGACGCCCTAAAATCTGCAGGTTATCCACTACGAATACACTTCCACATACAAAAATCCTGGAATCAGTCCCAGATTCTGAGGTCCTTGATGTTGATTTTCTCCAGTTTCAGGACACTAGCTCTACAAAAACGCTAGGCATAAAATGGAACGCGTTAACGGACTCCTTCTCTTACACGTACGATCCGGTTCCCGCTGCCAACTCGAGGACAAAACGGCAAATATTATCAGCGGTAGCGAAATTTTTTGACCCGGCAGGATGGCTAACGCCAGTCAAGATTTCCGCTAAAATGCTCCTTCAACAACTATGGATGGAAGGAACTGAATCGGACGAGCACGTAAAACCCGGCGCTTTCCACAAATGGAACACTCTGCGCGAAAATCTCCCCGCGATTAATGAAATTGTTATTCCCCGCTGGGTGAAATTCTCCCCTACTCACCGTGTACAAGTACACGGGTTTTCGGACGCCTCTGAAAAAGCTTATTGCGCCTGTGTCTACCTCCGAGTACAAATTGACGAAAACACCTTCTCGTCACACATACTCGCAGCTAAAAGTAAGGTAGCCCCCCTGCAAACAGTTAGCCTCCCCAGACTTGAGCTCTGTGGAGCCGTCCTACTCTCCAAGCTGGTTAATCAACTCCAGTCCCAACTAGATTTTCCTGCTCATGATTTATACCTCTGGTCAGATTCTTCCATTGTGTTGGCGTGGTTCGAAAAACCGCCACACACTTGGAAAATTTATGTTGCCAATAGAATTTCGCTCATACTCCAAAATGTGAGCAATGCCACTTGGCGGCATGTACCTGGTGCAGAGAATCCTGCCGATCTAGGCACCTGCGGATGCCATCCCCAAGATCTTGCGACATGCGCATTATGGTGGAATGGCCCAGAATGGTTCCAAAAACTCCCCACTTCGTGGCCAAAAAACCCATCTCCACATTCGTCACCCCCAGAACAACGACGTATTGAATCCCTGCACACGATTGAATCGGTGGCCATACTTGAGCGTTTTTCCTCATTTGCTCGAGCGTTGCGAGTAATCGCGTTTATGTATCGGTTTGTAAACGCAGCGAGAAAGCAGCCGGTACCCACTTCTCTCCCCTTAACGCACGAGGAAATAAATCAAGCCAAACTACGTATTATCGGTGAGACCCAAAGCCAGTACTATTTCCACGAAATCTATTAGCAATAAAAGCCCTTTACTGACTCTGAATCCGATGGTGGATCGAGCTGGAATTATGCGCGTGAATGGACGTTTAGCTTACGCAGCTCTCAGTTACAATGAACGTCACCCGATCATAATTCCAGAAAATTCCAAGCTCTGTGCTCTGCTGCTCGACTTCCTCCATACCACTCTTCTCCACGCTGACAAACAACTAATGATTCGAATGGTGCAGCAAGAATATTATATCCCCAGGTTGAAGCAAAAGATAAAAAAATGCATTTTTTAGTGCAAGGTATGCACAATCTATAAACAAAAGATGCGGTCACAGATAATGGCCGCGCTTCCTCCTGAACGATCCTCATACACACTACCCTTTCATACCACGGTTGTTGAGTTTGCTGGGCCATTTCTCGTGAAAACGTCTACCCTCCGACGAGGTCCCCACGCAAATGCGTACGTGTGTGTATTTGTGTGCTTTTCCACCAAAGCCGCACACCTAGAGTTATGCTCCAATCTGACCACGGAAGCGTTCAAGGCAGCTTTTACCCGATTTGTCGGCCGCCGTGGAATCCCCCACAAAATCATGTCCGACAACGGAAAAACGTTCGTAGGTGCGCAGCGAACTCTGCAAAGAGAATTCTCCCAGTTTCTTAAAGAAGCGGCCACTGATATCGCCGAAAAATACGCAACTTATGGATTCTCATGGCAGTTCATCCCACCATATGCTCCTCACATGGGCGGGCTATGGGAAGCTGCTGTAAAAAGCTTCAAAATCCATTTCACGAAGGGCGCAGGAAATCACAAGTACACCTTCGAAGAATTCACCACCATCCTTATCCGAATTGAAGTGGTGTTGAATTCAAGGCCGCTCTCCCCAATGTCTCAGGATCCCACTGATCTGTTGGCGTTAACGCCAGGACATTTCTTACGTGGTGCCCCACTACTCTCTTTGCCTGAACCCCACTCGGAAACCCTCTCATTGACGAACAAATGGCAAAAATTTAAGGTTATTCATCAGCAATTCAGTAATCGCTGGAAAAATGAATATCTCAAATAACTCCACAAACGGCATAAGTGGAAGCGACAAGAACCTAACATTAAGGAAGGAGACCTCGTTGTCGTCAAGGACGACCTTCTACCCCTAACGAGTGGAGCCTCGGGCGCGGTGTGAAACTTCACCCCGGTCAAGATGCAAATGTTCGCGTAGTGGATATTCACACCCAAGCCGGAACCATCACGCGCAATATTGCAAAGCAATGTTTATTGCCCACTCTGTAGAATCTCTCTATCAGCCCTGCATGCTTTCACCCACTCTAGTTCCCATATATGCACCCCCAGTTCGCTATAAAATGGCGTGACTAATTCATTTTTTCGACGGTTTCTCCACAGATGGACAGACGTGTAATGGAAGTCAACCAATGCCGCTTGTGCTGCCGCTACCACCCGCTTAGGTTTTGTCACGCATTCCGAGCTATGACGCCCGATGAGCGGTATGAATCCGCGCGAATACATAAATATTGTATCAATTGTTTGGCCACCTCGCATACCACAGGCGCATGTAGCTCAGCTGATAGCTGCCACCGGTGTGGGATGGCACACCACACCATGCTGCATCGTCCAACGGCATCGCCACCGGAACGCCAGCGCCACGCCAAGTCACGCACGCAAGTCCCCCGCGGACTACCCACACTCGCCAGCCGTGTGGTCAAAACACCAGCGAGTCGGGCCCCAGGCGGCCGCAACAAGGTTCAACGGCGCATTCGGGACTTATTGGACCGGGCCAGGGTGACTCTCGAGAAGTTACAGGAATTGCTGCATGTTGCACCGGTGCAGGTAGGCCGGCATGTCGAGGACATGAGCGCCAATTTGATCGAGTTTGATTAGTCTTAATATTTTTGTTCTCATTTTTCATATTATGCGTGCGGCCGGCAACCTTATCATTTATACTATTGTGAATAAATTTTGGAAATGTAAAATTGGATTGTTGTTGTTGTAAGCGGTGTCATGGGGTGACCTGTGCCCGCAATTAAGAAAGTTTTAGGCACTTCTTTTTCAACTACCGCCGCGGCCGCATCGCACTCGTTGTAATTATCAAGCCACTCGGGCTTTAAACTTGAGGTCACTCTACCAATTATCGTAGTTTAACTTTTCTTGAATAAAGTCTGTTAATTATTTGAATTATATATATTAAAATCTTATCGGTTTTAATTATTGTGGACTCTGTCACTCGGCGCACCCTGCGCTAGTATTTCTTACTCCCTTAATTAGCAACAATCGGGTTGATTTTTTATTGCTAACGGCTTTTTGCACTTTTTACCAAATAAAAGGGAATTTCTTGTAGAATAAAATGCGCATGACCGTTTGCAAACAAATTTGAAAAAAATTAGCGCTATATTTTACAAATTGCACTTGTTATCAATTATATAAATAGGCAATCATGTTTCCTTTACACCCCTTTTACGACTAAACTCTACTTCTAAGGTATAAACAATTATATATCATATATATTTTGATGCTGACGTGCAGGCAATTTTTAAAATTTCAAATTAGTTTAATAGAGCGAAAAAATCAATTCAAAAGTCACACCAATACCAATGGCCTACATGTACATGGTTGGGGCGGAAATGCCTCCTAAATGTATGCTTTAATATTGATAGTGAATTAAAGAAACGTGCTAAGCAGCAGTTTAGGAATAAGATGTATGTATGTATGTACATGAATAGATTAGCCTCAAACAAGGATGAAATAATTTTGAGTATGGAGAAGAAAGTGATAAATACAGAAATTAAAATAAAAGTAAAGAAACCTAAATATAAAGACAAAGAGGAAGGAAAATTTAAATACCTAACCTAATAACAATGGTGGCGGTGAATATGTAAATGAAGAAAAGAATGGACATATTTAGATCAGGATAAAGGAAAGGATAAAGATGAAGAAGAAGATGAAGACCAAGACGAGGAAGAAGATGAAGATGAATATGGAGATAAGGATAAAGATAACTTATCTTAACTTAACCCCTTAACTCACCTCAACTCATCTCACCTCGGCTTAAAAACTTACTCCACCTGAGTTCGCTACACATTAATTCACCACACCTTAACTCCCCACACCTAAATCCACCACTACTTCACTCCCCACACGTAAATTCACCACACCTTAATTCACCACACCTAAATCCACCACACTTTAATTCACCACACCTTAACTCACCTCACCCCAACTTTCCCACCACATCTTAACTCACCACACCTTAATTCACCACACCTCAACTTTCTCACCACACCTTAACTCACCACACCTTAATTCACCACAACTCAACTCACCACAATTAAATTCACCACACCTCTTAAGACCACCACACCTGAATTCATAACACCGTAACTCCCACACCCAATTCCACCACACTGCAACTCATCACACCCAATTTCAACACATGACATGATATCACTAAAGAAACAATGTAAAGAAAAAGAGGAAGGAAAATTTAACTACCTAACCTAATAACAATGGTGGGGGTAAATACGTAAATGGAGAAAAGAATGAAGATATAGATCAGGATAAAGGAAAAGATAAATATGAAGACGAAGGTGAATATGAAGATGAAGGTGAAGATGAAGATGAAGATGAAGATGAAGATGAAGATGAAGATGAAGATGA